TGTTGCTTCTAGTTACAACTTCTCTTTTTTAACCTCTTTTACACTGGTTATCAATATGAAATCATGTTTCATTTCCCTCTTCCTCTTACATGTATTTCCTAACTTTTAAAATGAGATTTGTGTCTGGTATTCTGTAAGATCAGCAGTCCTAAACTATCACACAAATGGAAAAGATGAAGAATGCTTTTCTGTAAAGCAAGAGCATAAATTATTTACCACTTAATGATAGTCAGTATACTTACATATTAAACAATTATAATTGAACACTATATTTACATGTCTGCATGCCCTCTGCAGAGTGTGCGAAAGTGTGTTAGATGGTGTAAATAGCTTTAAAAGACTCCTAGTTTCTGAGAGCAAACTGTTGTCATGTGTAATGGCAGAATGGGGAAGTCTTGCACATAGAAGTATTACTTTTGATGTGAAGTTGAGCAAAGTTGGTTTTTTTTTAAATGAGGAAGGGGTTTTCAAAGGAGCCTGAGGGTGCTTCACAGATATCCAAAGCCAATAAAAATCAGTGGTAGCTGGCACTGAGCCACACCAGGTATACTTTAAATATTCAGCTGAAGGTCTAATTTTGGAGTGTGTGTTTAATGAAAGTAAGAAGGACTTTTGACTTTTACTCCCATTAGTTCATGTTAGAAAATTCTTATAGTTTATTATTCCTAGTCTGATCTTCCTTCAGCATTTTGTCAAATACTTCACACAGTTACAGCTAAAATGACATTGAAATGGTAGTGAAACTTAGAACAATTTCAGTTTTCAAAAGCACTAAACCAAAAAGTGCTATTGTAGTTATGCTTTTGCATATAATTACTTCAGAAGATGATAAAACAAGGAGAGAATTGGATTCAAAATGCTTGAGCACAATTCAGGAATTAGTTTCCTAATTTAGTAGTTTATAAATAATACATTATCAGTAAGGGACTGAAAGTAGTATTGCAGAGCTACCTTGTTTTCCAAAGTGATCAGTATGAGTAATATCAGTTAAGACAACTTCTGAAATTGAGGTAGAAGTTTATGTGCTATTGTAAATATAAATAAAGCTGTAAATGGTGTCAATAACCAGATCTTGTCTTAAGCCCAAGGCTTAGCTTGTGTCATTTAGGTAAAACTCAGAATTACAGATTCAACTTCTAAGTCGAGTGATCAATTTGGTGTTATATAACTGGAAACATGAAAAGCGTTTTAATTTCTTCAAGAATTATGTTGTGAGCAATTTGTTTAGTAAGAGAAGACCTATAAAAAGCACATGCCATTATTATTACCCAGAATCCAATAAAAGATAGTTTTTCAAATTATTACCATATGTGTGTAGGAGTTGCTTTGTACTGTAAAGTTATTTTAGATACCAGAATAATTTGTTTCATACTTTGAGTTCCTCACTGTTAAGTGTCCCCTTAGATTTGCTATTACTTTGACTATTGTGTGATATACAGTAAAAAAAGAGTTTACAATAAGAGAAATTTAACAAGTAATTGAAATTCCAGATTGTGTGCAAAATGTGCCAAATGAAGTAATGGTATTTGCAGAGATATTGTATGAGTGCAGTAGCTGTGGGGAAACTACAATAAAACTGTTAAATATGCCCCCCCTCCCCCTGCTGTCTTTAACCAATGTTATAAAAGCTTGAGAAAATAAAGCAATCTTGACTGGCTGACTAACATTCCAACAGAGAAATTAATGTATTATAAATCATATGTTATAACTTCTTACCCATATTTTTTATTGTTTCTATTGATGTACAAATTCATGGACAGCTTTAACAAGGGCAGATTACTGAAAAAGGCTTTTTCTATGTTTGTGTATATTTCTTGTCAGACAATCTTCTTAGGACCTAGCAGAACTGAAGCAAAGGGAAAGTGTCATTTGTAATGCTGCTTTCTTAAAGTAATGCTTTTGTCTCTGAGCTAGTGCAGACTTAAAGGACGTCACGACTTGCAGGAAAGTTGGTTGAAATGAGCTTATTTTAAGATGGAGTTTTTGAATGTGCATTCTTTAATGCTGACAAACTCAGAGGTTAAGAAAAATGTAATTTACGTAGGAAAATCACCTCATTGATTTCAGCTGATTTTGTTTGATAGATTGATTACCTGCAGATGACTGCCAACTTAAATGTACATAGGAAGGACTGTATTTGCAAACCTTTTGAATGTATTATACTTTAGTAGTCTATCATCAAAGATTTATTGCTAACAGTGTAGCTATATTTCTTCATGCCCTTTTGATTTACATTCAGATGTCCTCATGGATCTTTCCTTATTAGCTGAACAGATTCATAGCCTCAGGAAAGAAATTTTAAGATGGTTCAAAGCCATTGTTGGAGAATCTTAGAAATTACCTTGTTTTCAGGTGTCTGTTTTCTTTCTCCAGTTGTGGAACAAGCTCGTGATACAGTTTCTCTTGTTGTCCCTTTCTTTTTTTAGTAACTTAATTATTTGCTGCAACTAAATAGCAAAGTGTAGGGTAGTGTATTTGGTAGCATCTGCTTCAACAATATGCCTTTTTTAAAGACTTTGCTGTGCCCATGGCCAGTATGGCGAAGTTCTTTGCAAACACTTGGCAGGCATTAAGCAAAGTCCTGCATGTTAGGTGTTACTTGTATACCTTAACCAAGACTCTCTTATGGTCTGAGTATTCAAAATAGTCCGTCTCCTTGTGTTGTTCCTGTACAGATCTCAGGGTTAGCCCAATGTATTTGTTCCATGTGCAATCCAGAATTCTATAAATGTAGCACAGAAGTCTATTGTACAAGGGCTTTTTGGACACAGGAAAACCAGGATGAGCTGTTCTGCATGCAATTCCAACAACAGACCCAGTCCTGTGCAAGGAAACCAACTACAGTTAGCAACAAATATTCAAGCAACCAGAGAAACCAGGACTCATGCTTAGTTCCGCTTCCTCTCACTTTGAACTGAGAGTTTATAATTTGTCAGAAATAATGGATGCAAACTCCAAGTTTACAGGTTACAAATGGGCTATCACAGTCACAGAATGGCTGCTAATACAGGTATTGGATATGTAAATTGAAAATCAGTACTAAGTCTTCTACTTAAAGTATTTGATGGGGACACTTGGCACCTCTAGCCTTATGGTGCTCAAAACAATAGCTTCTTATTACAGTTGGTTTTTGCAGTGAATGTTAATATATGTTAAAAACTGTAGTGGTAGCTGGAAGCTTTTCTGTGACAACAGGAACAGTATTCCCAAAAGAGAAGACTGTTTCTGTTTAACCTGAGCTTATATAATAGATATGGGGAACGGTGTGTTTTGAGCCCTATTATGTGTGTTCTGTTCCAGCAGGCACTTCAGATTTGCATGTTCCACCTTGCAGCAAGGGACTAACTGGGGATACATGCTGTCCAAAAAAAACCCCAACCAGTTTCCACACATTCATAGTTCAACCAGGAGATCTTTTTCATTCACTGAGTTTTGCCAAATTTGGTTGCAGTTGTGAAACTAACACTGGGATTGTGGCATTAGGGTTCTGTAAAAGGGCATTTTGGGCTATCCAATTGGACAATAAGTTATCAAAATTAATCTGTGATTGCCTTCATAATTACCATTACCCTGGAAAATTTTGGGATTGGGTTTCCTATCTATGTGTATGGGAGCCATGCTGCAAGACAACATAGGAAAGCAGAGAGAATTAAAATTTTTTGATATAGCTACCTGCTTTTCAATGAGGATTGTACTAGAGGAGGACTTGAAAGGTATCAGTTAAAAGAATTTTTGTTATTTCTTGCTGAATTGTAGTATCAGTTAAAAGAATTTTTGTTAATTCTTCCTGAATTGTAGCTTGAATACTTCTGTAAATGAAATGTTTGACATTGGTTTAATTAGTGGGATAGTGCATTAGGCTTTTTTCAAAATTAAGTTTTATATCTGAGAATTAAATTTTATCTATCTTTGCTTTATGACAGTTGTATTTGACACAAAAGGCAATGCCTGCTATAAGATACTCTTGAGTATGGAAGAAGAGCAAATTATTGGCATGAATGTGTCACTTCATGATTATGAAAATAAATACAAGCTTTTAATTGAGTAAGCATTTTAAAAAATAAAATGAAAGTTACCTTTCTCCTAACTTTTGCTGTTAAACATCTATGCTAGTCTGTCTTGTTCAGTTCCTCTTCTGTTTAGGATTAACCTTCAAGTTAAGCAAAATGTTGGCAATACTCCCTGTTGCTTCATAATTTGTTAAATACTTTCCTAAATCTTGCATTTGCATGGTACATGATCAGATAAGCAACATGAGTGAGATTTTTGTGAGAGCAGGTTCAGTGAAGTACTGTTCCCTTGGGAAAAGAGAGACTATAGTGTAGCTACTAAAACACTCATTTGTATTGATCCAGAGCCAGTGTAAGGGGCATCTTCTGGATCTGTGTGGCTTCCCTTCAGAAAGATACTGCAGGGAAGAGCCAGCCAGGGTTTGAAGCCAGCCCAGTAGAAGCAGTAGCAGGCAAAGAATGGGTTGGGGGTGCTAGTGATGCCATCGAAGTCCTACTGCTGTCTTCACTGTGAATATGTTCCATCCATTCGTGATTTCTTCTTCTAAGGCATCCCTTCCCTTGCTTGATGTTCCATTTAGCTAATTCCTCTTCCTGCATACCAACCTGAATGTCCATACTTCAAAAAACTTAAGTAACAATTTGTGTATAAAAAAGGCTATAACTGTACTGCATACTCAGCTTGTTTATTCTGATATTTTCCTTTACCTGTCTTGGTTATCCAGATTCTGAGACACTTGGGTTATATTTTAGTGATCTGTCTAGCACAGATTGGTCCTTAGGTTTGATTGCAATAAGTGGGAGTAATATTAATAAACACATCTGAATTGAAGAATCAATATTGTTGCTTTCTGTTGGTCAAAGACTCTTATTAAAACCAGGAAGTTCTAGTATATTTATAAATGGAACAGTAGAAGCAGCATAAATTCAATGTTATTGCTTCTGTGATTCTTCCCAATTTCTTAATTACCCTTATTTTTTTAAATGCAGAGACTTGAAGGGTGTTATAGTCACTCTGAGTGACAACGGGCATCTTCAGTGTTCTTACCTTGGGACTGATCCCTCACTCTTCCAGGCTCCTAAAGTTGATTCTAGGGAAATAAATTATGAAGAATTTGATGCTGAAATGAAAGAGCTTCAGAAAATCATCAAGGAGGCCACACAAACACAAGGTATACTTCTCTCTTTTCTATAGTTATACAAACTTTTAAACACCTGACATACCTTTTAGCACTTTAAAATATTCTGTTTTTTCATACTTAAACCCTAATTACATTTCTGTAGGAAATGCAATATTTAATAAAGTTTAGCCTTTAATTAAAAATGTACAAACAAGACTCTAGACTGTAAGGCCCTTGGATACAGACTTTTTCTTTGTATTTTCATAATGCCTGTTGGAACTTCCAAGATATTTGTCAGGTTGCAGATAATTTTCACTAGTACAAGGGTTCAGAGAAAAAAATTGAGAGTGCACGTACTACCCAAAGGCAAAAAACCAAGTGTTTTCATAGCAACAATCTGATATACTTAGGCTTCAGAGAGAGCAAAAATATTTCTAAATGGCTTCTGAAGTAGTGCAATTAACAAAAGATTACTTTTGTTAAAGCAACTTTTCTGTTGCTTTAACTTCTTTCGAAAACAATTGTATTTGAAGAACATAGTAAGAGATCTCAAAACCCCCAAAATTGATCATGATAAACTCCGGAATTCACATATACTGCTGATAACTTGCATTTATTATGTTCAAGTAAGGGCACATAATTTCTGCAGAGATCTTTCAAAGTTTGTTTTCATAACTGAGTTTTTAAACAGTGTTTCTGACTTGCACAGGGAATTGGAAGCATGTGATTTTACAGGAAACTATGGAAAAATCTTAGACAAATAGAAAGAATGAATTAAAATCTTTTCCTGATGATAGTTAGCATGTTCTTAAAACGCATTAAAGAAATAGTCATGGCTTTCTGTGTGAAAAAGTTGAACAGTTGAAATCCCTTGAAAATCAGAAATTATTTATTGGCAGTCATGAGTTTGATTCTACAACTCAATGATTTCTTTTTTTGTAATTGCATGTAACTTTGTCTGTTATTGTGATAGACTAATACTTGTTTTTTTTATTTTACAAATCCAGTAATTGGTTATTTAAGCATACAGATGTGGGAAAATTCCATTGATTTTTCTAGTAACTGTCATGGTATGATTGACAAGTTTACTGTGAATACTCTTGATCTTTTCCCCATTCTGTTCTCCTCTTTTTTCTTCCTCAATTTTTCTAATATGATCTAAGGTGTTGGTGGTTAAAAAGAGTAACACACTCCTTTCATTGTGGAGAGATGCTCTAATGTTGTGTTTGGCTTTAACTGGACGTAAAACTTGTGAGAACCTTTTTTACAATGAAACATTTTACTTACGAAGAATGCCTTTCAGTTTCAGATGTTTTGGCTTTAATTTTGGCTTTTTTCTTAGAGCTTTAGCTAAGTCTTAAAATAACTGCTAATCATGTCTGGTTGAATACAAAACACTTTTGAACACTGGGTCACCATTAAGTTACTCCTAAGCATGATCTTTAAAACGAGCCATTGACTTCTCTGTCTTTTGGATTTGCATTTGTGCAGTAAGAGCTTGTGTTTTGAAAATATCTACCCTTATATGGAAATAATTTATCTTTGTTTCATTTTGACTTCCAAACATGGAAGGTATTTAGAATTAGGTCATCATATAAAAAAACCTCCCACAACTTAGCATAGTTATTTCCATAAATGTCTTCTATTTCTGTCCAGTGCTGACCATTAAACTGTTGAACTTAAGCTGTTTTATACATTTTGAAGCAGAAGGATTTACATTATAAACTATTGAAACATTTTGAGATCTTAACTGTTATACTAACTGAAATCTAATGTTACTTGCATCGGTCTGGATGACATAAGTGATGAAACATAGGTGTTTTGGCTTAGGTTAATAGTAACAAAAACCTGGTACTTACATGTAGACTTTGGTTGTGATCTCAGTCCTATTTCTAATCGAAAAGTGACTGTATGACAGAAGTTGCGTTGCAGATTGCTTGAAGAAGCAGCCTGAAGAGAAGTGGTTAAGAAGGGGTAGGAAAGGGAGGTATTTTCTCATCTGTGCAAGTGGAATGGATTGTGCTGAGCTAAGTGTAATTGGCAGAACCACTTGTGTGCAATTGTGACAGTATGAAACAGGCCTATGCTTCTTTGGCGGGTGGTATTGGAGGAACGTGCTTTGGTTTTGCTTTTTTAACTGGTAGTAAAGGGAGGCATTTTTCTCTGAGTACAAGAAAATTAAAACTTATTTTCTGTCTTCATCAAAATCTTTTCCCTTGATCCTCTTGTTAGAAAGAGATAATGTGCTGCCTACTACTTCTGGATCATTTTCACAGAATCACAGAAATCAGAATCACAGAAACACTAGGTTGGAAAGGACCTTCAAGATCATCAAGTCCAACCATTAATCCAGCGCCACCATGTCCCCTAGACCATGTCCTGAAGCGCCACATCCACACATTTCTTGAACACTTCCAGAGATGGCGACTCCACCACCTCCCTGGGCAGCCTGTTCCAAATTTTCAGGACCCTATGTGTAATAAAATTCTTGTAGCTTCCTGAATGTGTTCATGCTCTTAATTATTCAATTTAACATACTCATTCCCCCTTTATGTTAAGTCTTTACTGTTTGTTACTTTAGAAACTATGCATTTCCTATTGGAGTTTTTCTTTTTCCAATACATTTAGTATTAAGAAATGAAAGTGCTTTTCAGAAAAAAGCAAATACCTTAAAGCTGGACTTCTGGACTGTTAAGAGCAGATGATGTAATTCTCTCACTGTATTTAAGTGCGTAGCTTTTAATCCTTAACTTTTTTTACGTATGTGAATCTGCATAAGATTTTACGTCATGGATATAAATGAGTTTGTAGCATTCTTTGCCTTGTTGACAGTCCTGGAAATCATCAGGTAGTGTAACTAAGCCCCATATAATGTTCTGTACATAAAACTTTCATACACCTTCTGCAGAGGAATTTCTAAAATCTATTTTAATCTTACACTACTGGGCACAGCATCTTTCTGTCTAACATATTCATTATCCAGTTATTTAGATGAAAGTGCCATGAGGTGCGTGGTGTGTATTTTGGAGATAGTTGTTTGTTATAGGTGTATCAGTACATGCATGTGAAGACAAAAGTTTAAGAATTCCTTATATCTCTGAAGATCATGGATAGTAGGTGCAAAATCTTGTTAGAGAATGCATCTAAATCCTTCTCCATACATAAACCAGAAATCCATGATAAGATCCAGGTTTAGGTTGTCTGTAGAAATCTTACAAAACTGGTAAGTTTCTTTGGTCAAAAATGATAAGGATTTTAATTTTTTTTCCTTTACACTAGTAGGTGTAATGATGTAAGTCTGAAACTTGATGCTGTTGGAATTGTATTATTTTTAGAAAGGTAGCTGCATGTTTGTTAAATCAGGCTGATTTACTTCTTTTTTCTTTCAGATATTTTGCCCAAATCCGAAAAACACAGAGATCTAACTGTCACAGCAGAAGTCTCGCCTCATTTGGATGCAGAATCTGTATGTACCTGTATCAAGAGGAAATTACTCTGAAAACACTGGTTTCATACACGAGTAAATAATGGTTGATCATGGGTAGTGATTATTACGTATTTATGTTTGTGGGACTGAGCTTCTGTATAACTCCCAGTTTTCCATAAACTAAAACTCACTTTTGTTAATGATTTTAACTGGAATTATTAAAATTATTTAGTATCTTCTGTCAGGGGACCCTCAGATTCTTGGCTAAGCAAACGTAAGTGAATGAGAACTTAGGATGTGGAATAACTTTTTAGTGGTGAGCCGTTAATAATATGAAAACAATTGAAAAGTGTCACTGTGTGGATCTTTTAAAGATAGAATACACTCCAAGGTGTATTGTAAGACATAATCTTTCTTTGACATCATTCAATATTCTCCGGTGTTGCAGCCTAATTAGTTTATTCATCTTGTATACATATGTAGTGTATAAAAATGAATTGAAATTTAGATTCAAGAGAGCTTATATTGTCTCTTAAAAACTTTCACTTTAACATTTGGGTACATATTCATTGCACTAGAACATCTGTAATTAGTAATTTCTGGCCACTAATTTCTGCAAAAATGATTTTCAGGATTACTGTTTAAAAAATACACAAGGAGCTGCTTTTTAATACTTAATAGTAAAGTACTATTAATTATATTATATTCATAGTTATATTAATATATACACTATTTATATTTGATATATTTATTTGAACTCTGTTACTATTACTATTGGTACCTTTTACTACTATTACTCTTTGGTAAAGGACCTCTTTATAATGTGTGCTAGTGTCCTAGCACTTGTCTGTCTTAAAGGACAGTGTGACATAGTCTTGGCAGTAATCTGCTCACAACACTTAGAACTGTTAGGTCCCTAGCATGCTCTAATGCTGCTGTGCTCATTCACTCAATGTTCTAGTTGCAAATGGTCTGTTTTATATGTAAGTAACTCAATGTATCAGTTGAACCACAGCCTTGAATCTTTATTTCCTGAGGCTGTCCATATATCTTAGTTTCCTGTGGTAGGCTTTCCTGGGGGTTCCTTCAGTAGCCATCTAGAAAGGAAAAATCTGATAAGATACTTCAAGGGGACTGATCAGTACAGCAAATGTGGGAACAATTTCAGGGCTTCTGCAGTGATCTTGGAAACTACAGGCTTGCAGAGAGTACTTCCGCACTTGTGAAAAGTTTTAAATTGTGTGGTAAAAGCAAAGAGGATAGAGTTGTACTAAAATGGATTAGAAAAGCAAGTGGAGGACCATTCTGGTTATTTAACACCACCTCCTGTGCATAGCCTCTGATCCAGGAAGTCTAGCTGATTTCTGAAAGCTGAATATGGTAAGGATCAATCTCCTTGCACCCCTGCACCCCAATGGCTCCCCTGCTGTTACGTCAGGATTAACCGTTTGTCATGAGACAGTGGGCATGGCGAGCCAGTATGGAAGTCGCTATGTTTTTTTTAACTGAAAAAGATAGTACAAATGCAAGTCCTATTTCTAGAACCCAGAGAGCCTTCCAACTTCCTGACTTCTTAGGAACTTTGCAGATGTGGACCCTGGGCTGAAAAGGAGGGTGGGTAGCGGACATCAGATAGTTCTTAATTTACTCTCTTATCATGAGAAGGTGTAAGTTCAAGTCAGTAATCTGGTATTATACCAGAAGTGAAGTGTTTCTTTAAAATAGTTTAAACAAAGAGGAACATTTTCTTAAACTGGAAGGACTGACATGTTGTAACATGAAATATAAGCATAAAATATTAAAATAGATTGCAAGGTCAAGATGACTTTTGAATTAGATGGAATTGCCTGTTGAAATAAAAATTAGGAGGAATACCAAGATGCCTGCTATAATTTTCTTTTGAAGTTCAAAATAAATTTCTGATTATAAGACAGTGTGTGATGATTTTATAGTACATACTATAGTGTATATATAATATATTGGCAGATTGGAAGTCACTTTCC